GTTACACGCGAACGATCGTTATTCGTTCGTAACCCTGGCGGAAAAGAAACGCGGTGGTTACACGCGAACGATCGTTATTCGTTCGTAACCCTGGCGGAAAAGAAACGCGGTGGTTACACGCGAACGATCGTTATTCGTTCGTAACCCTGGCGGAAAATATTCGTGTACATACATGTATACCAGGTAATTGTAAATACGATTTGTTTTTATTCACTCTTGGTAGATAATATTAGTGCATGAGCGGCATTATAGTTCTCCAGTCTCTGTAGTTAATATATAGACCAGAGGTTTTATCCTGTGGCCCATGGACCCCTTTGGGGTCTGTGGATGGACTTCAGGAGGTCCGTGAACCAGGCCCACGCAGAACTTTGTGTTTATGTTCGTATGTGCATTTTTCTGGGCAGGCATCCGTAGCCTTCACTACATTCTCAAAGAGGTCCATGACTCAAAAAAGGTTAAGAACCACTGATATATAGACTCTATAGAGTCGTGCGAGTATCATCATCTCGATGTAACGCATGAGCGTTTGATCGGAAATTTGTTGTGGTATCAATGACATTAGCATACGTCACAATGCATTTATATATATATACATATATATATATATATATGCATACATATATATATATAACATCAAACATTCATAATTGAACAACTATACCGCGTGAGAAATGGAGAAATCGCGTGATCGCAACACGATATCGCTCTCGCAAAATCTACTAATCTACCAACTACGGGACGTTAATATGAATAAGTAATAACTCTCAGAATCCCAATGTACTAATCTCAGTGTACGTTAGTCGAAGTAGCTTGTAGGGCGTAAATGTTTAATGCTTCTGTCTAGAGTAGAAGCTGTTCGGACCGCCGACCTCGTCAATGATGTTACCATTACCTAGCTAGCTAATTTTTACCTAGCGGGCCATCAGTAGCCAACGGCAGAGTTCGACAGCGAAAAGAAGTAAACACGTCACTACAGAGAATCAGTTTGATCGTGGCCGAGAGACAAACGGGTGGGCGAAAGGGAATCGAAAAAGGGGGATGTGAATTTGGCAAAACGTGACGCTATGCGTGCATACTTGCATGCGTGTGTGGATGTCTCTGTGCGTGCGTGCGTGCGTGCCTGTGTGTGTGCGTGTGTGAGTGTTTGTATTTGTGTGCGCGCGCGTATACGTGTATGTGTGTTCGCGCGTTTGGCCGAAGAGCACATTTCACTGAATCGTCTATAAATTTATAAAACAATACCTACCTTTATATAGATAATAGTGATATCAAACTGAGGAAAGCTACAATCGCTCGAATTGTACTCTGCATGTGTCCGGGCAGCAGCGGTGACCGATTAGAGAGGGAGCGAAAGGGAAAGAGTAGTAATAGACTGGGCACGCTAATGCTAGGGGATGCTAGGGCACGCTAATGATAGAATAGGCGTGCTTATTATCGTGCTAGCGGCGACACGTAGAGCGCCAGCACTCGGCAAGCAACGACTACACGCAGAGCAACAACTGCGTTAGTGATATTAGTACACGCGTTAAATACCGAGCGCACCGAATGTACACTATACCACCTTATTTCTACCTACTCTATAAATCCACGTACATCTGTATCTACCTATGTGTCTACATCTAGATCTACAGCT